CAATGATGTAATTCCTCCATTATACAAATCATTTCTGATTTTGAAGTTCTTAGACTTGATTCCTTCACTTGTAAGAATCTCATTTTCATGCACAGCAACTTCAAAGTGGAAGAAATATGAATTCAGTAATTTCAAATGTCTCCCACCTCAAAGGCACCAAAGATAATTTTAGAATCTTAGAAGACTATAGCAAATCATATTTCTTGTTTATATATTTTGTATTATAGAACATACTTTTTAAATATCTCCATTTCATTCTTTGGTAGAGGAAAAACAAATACCTGTTTGGGTGAAATTGTGCTGCTCCTTGACCCCCAAAATTCATAGATTAAAGCTCCTATCCCCAATGTGATGAGATGGGGAGGACCAATGAAGAGATTAAAGATTAAGTGAGGTCATAGGGTAGGACTCTAATCTAACAGAATTTACTAATTTTGAGAAGAGGAAGAGACATCAGAGCTTGATGACTCTTGTGAACATACTGAGGAAAGGCCATGTGAGGACACAGCAGGAAGGCAGCTATGTAGAAGCCAGGAACAAAACCAAATCAGAGACCACATTTACAGGCACCTTATTCTGTGGCCTTGTAGCCTCCAGAACCGTGAGAAAATAAGTGTTTGTTTATAAAACTACCCAGATGGTGATATAGCAGCCTGTGCTAGCTTTCACAAGCTATAAAGATGAGGAGCTTACATTTTTAGGAAGTTTTATTCTACTAATAACCAAGCTGAACCAGGAACTGATAGTAACACAGATGATCCATTCATAAAAGGAGTCTGGAACAATGTGAAGAAAAACTCAACACATACACACCCCTCATTAATGTTTATATGCATGTGTTATTTAAATTAAGTTAATTAAACTGTCATTTTAGAAAGATTATAAGATTTTGAATAATTGCTCTGAATGGGTAAGAACTGTACTACAACTGTACTGGCTATATTCTTTATCACTGAGAGAAAGAGTGGATCCTGTTAAAGAATGTGAGCCACTCTGTGATTTAATAATTCACTTGTGCCAGTGAGAATTTAGATGTCCCAAGGACAGATAGATATATGTTCTCTTATCTTTAATATAAATTAGGTCAACATCAAGTTCAAAACATTCTCAAAACTTGGATAATATTGAGACAAGATACAAAAATAGGAGGTGGTGCTGCTAAAATTTTCTTCACCATGTAGAACAAATATTATTTGGTTTCAAAAGGAATCAGCTTTTCTGTGTTAAGATTTTTTGTTACTGTTCTCTAGTGAAGGCTTAATTAATTTGGACTCCCTTAAAGAACTTCTCTATTGACATTGCCTCCTTATACTCTCAGAATCAGGTATAACATTCTTGAACTTTTATCACATTCATTTCCTTTCTTTTTTAAAATGACACATAAAAATTGTACATATTCATGGGATACATGTGAGTTCCAAAACATGCATACATTATGTGATCTTCAAGTCAGAGACAGCATCTCTAACTCCTCAAACATTTAAAGTTTCTTTGTGGTTAAAAAAAAAAAAAAATTAAACTACCATTTCCCGAGGCCATTTATGTGCCAAGCACTATATCCGAAATTTGACACAACTGCCTCATCTTAATTCTCACATTCTACAAGGTGAAGATTGCGATCCCCATATGAAAACAGAGAAAGTTTCAGAAGGATCAAATAATCAACTGAATTCTTCCAATTAAAAAGTGCTGGGGTTGGGGTTGTGGCTCAGCGGTAAAATGCTTGCCTAGCACGTGTGAAGCCCTGGGTTCGATCCTCAGCACCACATAAAAATAAAAGGTATTGTGCCCAACTGCAACTAAGAAATAAATATTTTTTTTAAAAAGTGCCAAAATTTCTTTGAATCCAAAATGCATGTTTTACTATATTGTCTTACCTTCTAACCTATATGTATATATACATTTAAAAAACAACAAAAAAAGACACTTTTCTGACCATGTTGCTCTCCCTCAATCTTAAGGAACTTTAAACTATCAATTATTAATAACCTTCTGGATTTCTACACAAATGTAATCTACACAAGTCTGGTAATAGTGTCTTTTAATACCTTTAGGATTAATCAAATAAATATTAACTGAGGAATTCCATATGTCTAGCAATTTTCTATAAGACTTGGGAGATAATAATGCAAAGCCACTGTATAGTGAATATGACCTTAGGTAGAGTATGTTAGAAAACTCCCAGGATACAATTAAGCTCCCTACAATGTCTGCATTCTTTATCTCTAAAATGATTCTTGAAATTGAACTTAAGTAGACAAAGGCATGTGGCCAACCGTTATATTGGGTAAAATTATATTACTAAGGAAAAAAGTAAAATATTCATTTCTTCATTGCCTTTTTATATCAAATTAGATAGTATCTGTCAAAGTTCTGTAACCTATTATAATTCATTGCCTATGCATAATAACTATCATATTTCCTCTTCTCTAATTCTGTATCCAAACTGCCATGGGTCTAGTATGCATTAGTTCTCATTTTATTTTGAAAATTACTCATTAAACAATAATGTAAAGCCTAAAACATATACTAAATAATGAAAAAAGTTCTAATATTCCCAAAACATTAAGACACTCAAACTGTATCAACTCAACTTCTTGTCATCAATGGTAACCCACATAACAATAACAAGAATACTCAAGTAATTCTAAATTTAAACAAATGTATTTACTGAAGGACTTCTTACAATCTTTAACATATATCAAGTGCACTCTGTCTCTCTAAAAAGGCAGTAGATGTTATTTTCAGTTATTATAGTTAAAACAAGTATTGTCCCTCCCTATTTGCCTTTCCCTACCTCTCCCTTCCTACAAGATCACTGACACCCTAAAACACAGGCTTGGACAAGTGACCTGCTTTGGACAATGAAATATGAGAAGTAGTGACATGTGTCATTTCCAAGCAGCTGTTTTAAGAGCCATAGCTCCACTGTCACTTTTATTTCTTCTACCACAAGACCTATGCATCATCAAAACATTGCTCCTTCAGCTTTGCTCCAGGAATGAAGAAGACACAGAACATAGAAGCAGAAGACTCATGAGAGACATGAACAAAAATAAGAAACTTTTACTACTATATACCACACTAAGATTTATTTAAAATTAATAATAAATTTAACTTTGCTTAAGCAAAAGTAGATCTGTTTCCCAGATCTACTGAACCCTGACATTTTTTTGGCCAAGTAACACATTCTAGTTTCTACATTACTCGTTTTTTTATGACATCTTTTTCTTAATTAACACAGTATCTAAGTTATGAGTGCAAGTATATACATACTAGAAGTAGTCTTCACCATCTTCAATTAAACTTTCTTCTTAAATTCTATCAGCAATTTAAATTTCTGCCAATTTCTCCTCTTAAGTCAATAACACTGTTTCATTGTGATAATCAGATTTACGTTCAGAAATCACTGATGAAACAGCTTGATAGTCAAGACCATCATACTACTAACTTAGTTTTTTGGAGAGGTCAGATTATGTATTCTGCCTTACTTTTTATATGTGTATTCATATTTAACAAATACAGAATACTGTTGACAATTTCAATTTTCCTTAAACCTCCCTATACATAATTTTCTTTTGGATTAGCAACTGAGAACATATGATATTTCAGTATCAATTTTTGGATATTCCGTGTCAATTCTGCTGATTTCATAATTAATTATATTCTGACTGGCATTCTTAAATTCAGAATATTTTTTCTAGCAAATATTCCTAAAGGATAGCACATTAAAGAGGAAAAATAGTAACAGCAGTTTTCTTATTGGCTTTGAGATTTTCTTGGTGTTTCAATACTTACCAAAACACACACACACACACACACACCAAAAAAGAAAAAAGAAAGAAAGAAAGAGAGAGATTCTGTTGGTGTTTTCCTATATTAAATACATGTTTAACCTAACTTGCATACATTTTTACTGTGTGTCCAATCCTTAACAATGATATTCAGAAAAAAAATGACTCAGAGGCCTTCTATTTATGCTCATGGCATAAAAGCAACATTCAGTCATATACTGAAGGAAAGTAGATGTAAATATTAAATTTAATAAGCTAATAAAAATAAAAAATAATAAAAATCCTTAAAACAGAAAATGTTCCAGATTAATTTTCAATTGTAAAGTTAAAAAGTAAAGATTCTTTCCTGAAAACTGCAACTGAACAATATTTACTACATTTGTTCATTTTAATTTACACCAAGCTCTTTAGTCTTATAAATCATCAGTTCACAGTACAGTACACATGTATAAGTAAAGCAATCGAACATTTGATTCCTAGACTGGGAAAAATCTGTATAATTAACCATTACTAAAACTAAAATATTAATACCATATTTTAAAACAGACAAAAATTTTTTCCTAGAGCAACAGCTATAAAAGTAACTTATAAATAAAAGGATGAGTTTTAGAGTTTGATATAACTTGTCACATATATATATAATATATATATATAAATTTGAACTTTATTAGTTTTCATATTTTAAGATGTTTCATGATGCAATTATATGCATCTTTATTATTTTTAATAGATAAGAAAAATTCCCAACTCTTTTGATACTGATTCACTTTTTGATTAAAACAACGATGATACTATTTTTTAAGAAACTGACAAATTACATATATATATATATATAAATAAAATTATATATGTATACTTATATATATCTATCATATATATTATTTTAGTTGTGTATCTCAGGACTTTTAATTAACTTCCACTAATAACACATTGTTGTAAAGAAACAAATGAAGAGATTCTGAATTTTTTTTAGTTTCATAATTTGAAAAGATCGAACTTACTTGATGATGAAGATTAAAATGTCACTGTAAAAATAATAATAAAAATGACGAGAAAAAATACACAACTGTCACACTTCTTGATTAGTACGGAAAGTGAATCCATCAGATGGGGTAAGGCTGAAACCAGCTCTAATAGCACATAGTTCTTGACCACCTCACTGCTTCCAGGCAAGCAAGTAAGATGCACCTTCAGTGCAGCTCTTACCAGTCAAGTCAGGACTTTCCATTGTGATTACAATGGAACATCAGAACTTCCAGCGTCTGTGATGTAGCAGGATTCTGTGAAAGAGCCATAGGAAAGTGGTTACAACAGGGGTCAAGAAGGCCTTGCAAACAAACTGACATTAATTTTCCTTCAGCAAAATAGTCTCCTAATAAAATGAATTAACAATCAAAACCAGGCAAAAACATCCCTATGCCAACACGATTTTAAGGAGTTCCCCAGTGTTCACCATCTATTTTAATTTTAAAAAAAGACAACTCGCTAAAATTACTTAATACAAATTCTGAGTGTGAGGTTACATAAACTAAGAATTACAGGCAATGGCTTCTTCAGCTTTGGTCTAAAGTCGAATGTATAATTACAGGAAAACTCCCTGAAAAAATATACAGTTAAGTGACAGCCTGACTAAATTCGAGTTATTTTAAATGACTGGCCCAACTCAACTAGATAGTTTAATTAATCTTTTGTTAAAATTTTTTTTAGTTGTTGATGGACCTTTGTTTTATTTATTTTGCGGTGCTGAAAATCGAACTCAGTGCCTCACACATGCCAGGCAAGTGCACTACAGCTGAGCCCCAGCACCAAAATATTATAATTAATCTTTTAAGCATTTAAAAAAAAACGAAAGCAGCTAGGGTGAGTGCAGACACAGATTAAAAACTGTACCAAACCAATTATTTTCTAAGTATAAAGAACTAAGAAAATACAGAAACATGATCAAAATCAGCAAAAAGAATGTATATACCAATTAAATGGAAGATTTTACATTAGTAAAATTGTAAATAAAGATTATATATTTTATCATTTCAGTTTCTTTGTGAGATACACTAAGTTTATAGTTTGCTTGTCCACCTTTAACCAAAAAAGGATATTTTCTTTCCCTAAGCAGATTATGACACTACATTTCTTCTGTAAGCTATACACTATAGAAATTGGACATAATTTTCTGGTTTACACTAACAATACTATGAGTCATTTATGGCTTAGCTAAAGTTTTTTATTTTAATCAGTCACTATAATATGAAAGAAATGGCTTTTCACATGTGTAATAATTCAAGAGTAATTTTATCTAGAATTAAGATGATTCAGTTGTCACCAATGCAATTAACAAAACAGCAACAGGAAAAAATAGAACATTAAATGGTCTCATGTCACTTCACACAAGATACTACTCATTCATTCCCATATTTTGAAAACAAGTGTATGGATAAAAAAAATAAACCTAAATCTTTGAAGCTAAACTCAAAGATTAACATGAATATTTGTAAATTAAATGCCTGTTTTTAAAACTTTTCTGAAAACACAAAATTTTTAAAAAACTGATGAAATTAATGGTCTGAAAGTCTATAATTACCATAAAATATACAACTAGTGTTATTTTAAAAATAACTTAAAGAAAAACCTCACAAACTAATTTCCTAGTCATATACTTTTTTCCTTCATACAAATTCATAAAAGCAATATACACAACCGTTAAATAAATGAGTAAAAACCATTAAGTAAATAACTATACATGTCAAATAAAGAAATTCTTATAGACTAAAGTATTAATATAATCTGTATAGCCAAAATTGGGAGGAAAAAGGTTCATCGCTTTTGGGGGAAGGGGAGTGGTTTGCTAGTAATTGAACCCAAGAATTCTACCACTGAGCTACATCTCTAGCTCTTTTATTATTGTTTTTAATTTTTAATTTTTGAGACAGAGTCTCACTAAGCTACTCAGGCTGGCCTCCAACTTGTGATAGTGCATCAGCCTCTTGAGTAGCTGGGTTTAAAGGTGTGAGCCACCATGCCCAGCTCCAGAAATAATTTTAATAGTGTAGGTTTAATTCTTCTTTGGGTTTAAATATTTGTTTACATTTTCGTGTAAGATGTGAACATATGATATGCTATATGAGAAATAAAATGCTAATTCTTCTTCCATAAGAAATTATTTTAGGAGCTCAAAGATAAACTTCAGGTGCCCTGATAAATTTATTTCTATAATGGGAAATTTTATTTTGATCATTGTTCTGTAATTTATTATGAATGATACTATATTATTATATATGATACTATATTATTACGTATAATATCTATGGGTAAAGCAGAAGAGGATGAAAGAGGAAACTGACTATTCTGTGGCTAATATGGGTTGTTAAACTCTCAAGGAAATAAAAAATCATCATGGTAAACCTAAAAGCCAGTGAATAAGCCACAGAGGAGAGGTCAATTTCCAGGCTGAATGTCCTACCTGAATCAACCTATTACAAAATGCCCACAAGAAAAGCAATTATAGTGTGGCCTGTTCTGCATTTAAATTACAAGTATTTCATTTTTGATTTGACAGAATTGGATTGTTTTGTGAGATGTCAGAAGGTCAGATGAGCAAATTCCCAAAGCATGAATACAATGGTGACTTGAATAAGCCCTTTGATCAAAACCTGGGTGAATTTGTCCAAGCCACCTGGTGCCTGTCTATGTTCTCCAGGTCCCATGTTGGCATCTTCTCAATTGTCACTCCCCCACAGAGAGCCTTCAAACTCTGACTCCTCCTGGTTAGGACCCACTATAACTTACTAAAAACCTTCCCTTCCCTTTTGAAGGTCTCTTATTTCCACCCATGATAGTCCTGGCCAACCCTGACCATGCTCAAGATTCCCTCCTAGAAACTTCATCATGGCAGGTGAACAGTCTTCTATTAAATACCTATTATTTGCCTCTTAACACAAATAAGGCATCTAACTTGGCATCTGAAAGACCAATCTTAAAGATGTGGTGTAAGCAACCACTGAAATATCCCAAAGCAACTGGCTTTCTGGCACAGCTCACATACTGCCCCCTTGGGACACAGTGTTTTGAATAACTTATTATACTAAAAAAGGTGAGGTGCCACTTCTTACAATGAGGCAGACTTCCAATTAGTGTTAATGTCCAATGTAGCATTCAAAGGCACATCACGGCAAAATTCCCTTCTATGCCAAAATTGTATGTTTTATACCCTGATGTCACTACTACCTAGTCAGCACAGAAGGGACTCCAAGGTGACCATGTGCCTGCTTACATGGAAGCATATTTAATTCCCATGAATGACTGCTTTTCTGATGTTTTCATCAATTCTCTGGTTAACAGACTAAGCTTTAACAAACTCATTTTCATACATACCCCTAATTCAATCAAGCTAAATGAAAGTCATTCTGGACTGCAATTATTTGCTAAGGAACAATTACATTCAAATGAAAAAAAGAAATCAGTGGGCATGACATAATCCATGGTACAGATGCCTTTCCATTTATGGCACAAGAACAGCAAGAAGGGGGGAAAAAAAAAAGCCAAAGTGCTTGAAAAGTAAATAAATTTTTCTTCATCCTCCTGAAAACAGAATACTTTTGCTTTTACACCTGAAAAAATCAAAATAGAGAACCAGAGAAAGCACATTTTTAGATTACTACTTTCAATTATGTTTATTATTTGAAAGAAGCTACATTTCTAAGCTGAGTCAGTAGGACCTCAGAAACAAATCCAGGTCACAATCTAAGCGTTCTAGTAACTGCATATGAACTAAATTATCCACAGGCTCACTCCATACAATAGGTTTGCCAATCTCCACTTTACAATGGGGTTTTCTTACATTTTTTTCTGTTTTAAAGCTTATTATTGTTATTCTTATGTTATATTGTGAATTTTTATGTTTTCCTCAACTCCTTTATGTATCTACTACATGTTTATAAATGAACTTAACTAAAAACTCCAAGTTCTGACTGTCAGATGATGTAATACCCTCATGTTTGCAAGTTAAAAACTTCTTGTTAATTTAACAAAAGCTTTCCCTGCCCTGTGTGTGCATAAGGTTTTCCCATCCACTACTCTATGCAATCTTAATTTTCTCAATAGTGTCATCAGATCCATTGTACAATACTATGGTACTGAAAAACGGTGTTGTCATCTTAGCTGTTTTACAGTTTTAGTCAAAGAACGCCATGCCTCAGGTGACTGTGGTCCAACACTGGCTAGAACTAAAAATTACAAACAACCTTACTTGCAACTAAATCATTTGCTGAAATAAAATATCATCATAGAAATAAAGATAACTCCCAGGGACGTGTGTGTGTGTGTGTGTGTGTGTGTGTGTGTGTG